TATATATATATATAGTATAATATATAAATATAAGGCTCCCCTATAAGCGAGCCAGCACGCCAGCTCCTTTTTCCTTGCTGTGTGGGGCAACTTAATCTCAGCTGTTACCCACTCTCTGATAGGAACGAGTACAAGAATTGGCGAGGCGCAAGGGTGGAATAACAACATTCAAAGGGAAGCGGCAGAAACGAGAAGGAGAATCCCCTTCGAACTTCCCTCAGGCCCTGGTCTTAATGTCGTGGTCTATACGCTGCTTTCACACGCCCCTGCACGAGGCGCACACCTCGCTGGCCATGCGGCGGCTGATGGGGCGCTTCTGGAGCCCGTTCTGCCGCCGTCACGTCGGGCCGGACCTCCGCTCGTATGGCTTCACGGAGGTTTTTCAGACCATCTGCACGCAGGACAACTTCACTTGCCAGGTGAATGGGCAGGTGGGGGATGATCGACTTATAGAGGACTTTTTCATTGTTCTTCTCTGTGGATTCGACTTTGCTGACGTGCATGTGGAGCAGTCATCCTTAACTGATGCACTAGGTCACCCGCATAACTTCAAGGGCACGTACACCCTCGCGCACACTCGGCCGTTCCTGGGGTGGCGCCCACCGTCTGTAGTGCCCCGACTGGCACCATCATCAGCAGTAGAAGCAGCAGCAGCGGCGGCGGCGGATACTGTGGAAGGGGGCATCGCGGGCGAGCAGAGCGATACGCCAAGGTCTGCAGCGGACGCTGCGTGTGAGGAATCTGTCGCGGCATCGTCGCTGTTGCAAATGAGCCCTAGTGTGCCATTAGTTAAGGTCCCGTTCTCTGCGCGGCTGGAGGGGACGGAGCATCACATATCTCACATGATTCTCCGATCCCCTGCTCTGGATGTGATCACGAGCGACGCGAACTGCCCCGCCACAGTGCAGCGTTGTCTGGAGAACCCCGAGGCGCTGCGAGTGCTTGTGAGCCTCCGCCGCGCCAACGTGCGCCCAGACATTATTACCGACAAGACGCTTTTGGGGATCACCACAAAGAAGGAGGCGTGGAGTTCCGCGTTGGGCATTCTATAGCCATACATTTGCTTCGTCACAAATGGTCGTTGTCAGTAATAATAACAGACATCTGTGCGCAGACTCCCCCATCATTATCATATTCATGAGGCGTCAGTTCGCAGTGCTCCAGGGCGATGCAGAAAAAGGCAAATGTCTTGTTTGTCAACTGCACGCGCGCAGAATACGAACGAAGAAATAAGAGCAAACGAGGGCAATTTACCTTTAAGAAAGAAAGACACACAGGTACCTCGGTACGTACGTACAGACAAATGTACAGATAGGCAGGGGAAGAAAGAGAGAGAGAGAGACGGAGATAGAGAAAGAGATTTGGAAAGCAATTCGTGCATGGCATCGCCTTGCAGTGTGAAGGCAGTGAATGAAGGGCATATTCGGCGTGAGCGATGGACACGAAGAAGGCCCCTCTATACTGCACCGATATATATATATATATATATACTGGCAAAAACAATACACAAAAAAAAAAGAAGAGATGTTCAGTCTGTCACCTTCGGCTTGGGTGTGCCGTCTTCCTTCCTTAATATTCGTGTCCGCAGAGGAACGGACAGAGGGGGTGTCTGTGTACGTGCATTAGGGGTCTGACGGACAGGATGGTCGGGCAGAGATGTATTTCCGTGCGTGTTTTGTGTAAGAGACAACGCAAGAAAAAGGGTGCCCCTCAAATTAGAGTGTTCTGAGGTAATATGCAGCAGGTGAAAATGCACTTTGCATTCACTGGCCCCAGCTTGTGCCTCTTGTGAGTATCAAACCACTGGCACAAGTGATAATCATTGATGCCCTTCTTTTGTCCCCCGGCCAGCGTCCCTCCAGAAGCGAAGGCCACCGGTAGTTTTCCTGGTTGGTGGTGATAAATGTAGACGAGATGAACGACTCCTCCCTTCCTTTTTTTGATAGTTTTTCTCTCTGTTGCTGATTTCTTTTGCTCTTCATTTTTATGCATCATGCTTCGTTCCTCTTTTGTGTTATTGTTCGTGTTTTGTGTGTATGTGTGTGTCGTATCTTTCGTCCTCAGTCGGTTCCTGGCCTTTAGAGTTTTGGCTCCTTGTCGCCCCTCTAACACAATGTAGTCGGCTTGATTTGCTTTTATTCCTAACATTCCACCCTGGTGTTCGGGTATTGCACCTTCCACTTCGCCCCGGTGTGCGTATCCCCACGGAGGGTGCCATTGCATGACGGAGGAGGAATAATAAAAGAAAATAATTTAACAAAAAAAACAACCAAACCAAAAGCCGCAACCAACAAACGAAAAAAATACAGGGGGAAAAGGTGAGCCAATGAGGGGTCATGTGGCTGCTCCACTCGTCCCGAGTGGGGAGGGGGGAATAACGAAGAAGTGGGAAGAAAAGGATGAGACGAAGAATGCTCTGAGGGATAAAAGCCAGCACGCCTCTCCTCATGGCCAATTCGGTGAGGAGATTAATGTGTGTGGGCGCATTCCGTCCTCTGCAAATATTTTCTTTCGTGTGTTCGTTTGCCGTTCCTTTGAGGCACGCGGATTTATGTGCTTCGGAGGTTTGCACCACTCCGCTCTTGTTTGTCAACCCGATTGGTATCTTTTTGTTTTTCTTCTTTACTGTAGTGCTTTGTTGTTTTTGTTTTTTTTTTCTTTTCGTATTTGCTCTTTCTACTCCGCGCCTCACTCAGCTTCCTCCATCCCCTCTTCTTCGCTTTCTCTGTCCTTCACTCCTTCTCGGTGTGTCTGTGTGGCATCCTTCTGGGGGTGCGTCTGTTCCCTCGTGCGGTGTTCAGATGCGCTCACCCCACGCGGTGACGGGCACAGCGAAGCCAGAGGGCGGCGGCGTCGTGCTTGGGCGGTTGTGGGCTGCTGGCACACCACGCAGCGACAGGGAGCGGTGCAAAATGGAGCAATCAGTACATATTTGCACACATCTGGCTGCGGCTTCATTACTCTGTCGAGATCTCGTCTGCTTGTGTGTGTTTTCTCTTCTTCATCATGCTTGCTTCCTTTTTGTTGTTTTGTTGGCGTGTACCTCATCCTGTAAGGAAGGCGCAGTCACTCGGTCACACGCGGCTGCTTTAGTCTAGGTGTAGGAGTACCATCCGTCATTTTTCTTGTTGTTGTTTACTTTGGGGAATAGGGCTTTGTAGTCTTCGGCGTGTGTGTGCGTGTGTGTGTGTGTGTGGTAAGATGTCTGCAAGTACGGTGCGTGGCATCTCCGCCGCCGAAATTGCGAAGTTCCGTCGGCTGCAGGGACACTGGTGGGACCCCAACGGTCCTCTCCGCACGCTGCATCTCCTCAACCCCGTGCGCGTGCAGTACATCTGCAACGCCTGCAAGCACTATTCGAAGCGGTCGAGTTTTCTAAGTGCATCGGGCATCACGCCTGGGATGCGCGTGTTGGACGTCGGTTGTGGCGGTGGCATTCTCTCCGAGAGCATCGCGCGACTTGGTGGCAGTGTGCTGGGCATTGACATGTGCGAGGAGAGCATCACTGTGGCGCAGCAGCGGCGCGATAAAGTACTGCGCCGCATGGCGTCGCAAGCTGCAGAGGAGGGTGCATCGTCGCTCGAGTATCGTTACGTCTCCCTTAACACCATTGTGGCGGAGGAGAAGCAACAGTTCGACCTGGTGCTTGCCTCGGAGGTCCTTGAGCACGTGGAGGACGCTCATGGCTTTGTTCGTGATCTCTGCGAGGCGACAAAGCCCGGCGGTGTTCTAATCGTTTCCACGATGGACAAGTCGCTGCGCACGGCCATCAGCCACATTGCTCTTGCCGAGTACCTCACCGGGCTGGTCGAGCCTGGGACGCATGACTGGACCAAGTTCGTGCCGCCACAAGACCTCACGAGGAGCGCGTTGCAGCACCAAGTGCGGCAGGTTGACCTTCAGTATATCGTGACGTGTCCCGACCTTTTCAGCTCACTTGCAACTCGTCGGCTGCAGTTGAGCTTCTCCCTCTCGAATTGTTTAGACACAGGTCACTACTTCTGGGCCGGCGTGAAGGTACCCACACCCACCACAACAGGCAGCAGTGCCACTGTCTGAACATGTGGCCATCTGGTGATTATTACAGCAATAAGACAACCTTTCTTTGTCTGGAAAGGTCTTTTCTACTCTGATGGGTAAGAGTTTTTTTTTNNNTTGCTTCACGTTTCTCTTCGTGGTACACGCAGAATAGGAAGCGGTGCATAATGAGCATCAAAGGCACGATTCGATTCGAGGACCTGGGCGAGCCCGTGCAGCGACTGCTCAGGTCGCTGAAGGGTGGTGTCACAGAGGAGGACATGGCACTGCTCGAGTACGTGTCCGTGAAGGATATGGCCAAGATATACGGTGAGATGTCCACTGATCGCCACGCAGAGGAGATCTGGAATGAGCTCCGCGCTGCTCTGCAGGCGAGGAAAGAAAAGGCGGCGCGGCGCGAGGCGGAGCTGCTCAGCAAGCAGCAGCAGCTGGAGCTGGAGCGCGAGGCGGAAGAGCGGACGCGTAGGCAGCAGGAGGAGGCAGAGGAGGCGGAACTGCGGCGGGCGGAAGAGGAGCGGCAGCAGCGACGCGAGGCTCGCCGCAGGCAGCGCGAAGCGGAGCAGGAGGCAGCACTTCTGGCCGAGCAGGAGGCGGCGGAGGAGGCGGCTGCGCTGGCGGAGGAGGCGGAGCGGCAGCGGAAGGCGGAGAAGAAGCGCAAACGCCGCGAAGCGCGTGCACGGGAGCTTCAGGAAGAGGAGGAGGCCCTCGCAGCGGAGCAGGCTAAGCACACCGCGAAGAAGTCCGGTTCGCAGAAGAAGGCCTGGGAAGAGTACGTCGCCAGCCACCCGCTGGAGTTCACCAACGAGCTGAGCCAAAACATCGAGCAGCAGCGTGTTGAGCACACGCTCAAGGCCCCGCCGCAGGCGAGTAGCGATCTCCTCAACCGCACCTACACGCCCAAGTGTCCAAACTGCAATGCGAAATTCGCGACACCACCGTCAGAGTGGGAGTGTCCGATGTGTCTGAAGCGATTTCGGCTGTCCTTCAAGGTATGGCAGCCTGATGACTCAACCAATTCTTGTATGATTTGTCACGCGCCCATTGGCCGTTTTTCTCGCCACCACTGCCGTAGATGCGGCCGACTTGTGTGCAACCAATGCAGCGACACGAGGGCTGTTATTCCTGCGCTGGGATTTAAGGGGACTGTGAAGATTTGTGATGACTGTGCAAATAGGGGCGCCGCAGCTTAGATGTATCTCAAAACAACAACGACAGCAAGGAAAGAAAGCCGCAAAACATTTTTGTCTTCTTTTGAAGAAGACATCGGCTTGTTGTTTCCGCTTTCCTTGTGAGGTGCTTTGATCTCTTACTCTCTCAGGCACATATGCACTTGTGTCTGTGTGTGTGTGTGTGTGTGTGTGGTGAGCGAGTTTGCGTTTTATCGAGCTGATGGTGAGAATCATCTCCAATTCAAATGTGAAGCCATAAGCCTCCACCAGGGCAGCATGGGGAAGGAGAGCCGAAGCGGCAACAGCAGCAGCCTGTGTGCTGCACCACCTGGTCCAGAACTTGCAAGGCCTTCTCTCATGCCTTCCCTCGCATCAGGCTATATCGAATTGATAGCAGTGGGGCCACGCGTGTGCCAGTCCTCCACTTTGCTCAGAGTGTGTGCCCAGTTCCGTGCGAAGAGGGTCGTTGTTTTATATCCTTTTGTTTTCTCTTTTGCCTCCTTCACTGGCCAAGCATTATTTTTTATTCACAGAAAGAGTCGAATTCCCTCCCTCCACATCAACAAAAAAGGAGAAAGGAACGGAAAGGAAAAGAGAAGCGGAAGTAAAGAAAAAAAAAAAGGAAAACAGGACCCCAAAACAATGGACTCTGTGGCTCTCGGCGTTAGTTCGCTCGTCCACCAAGCGGAAGCTCTTAACATCCCCGTCGTTCGTAGCAGGTCCGTGGCGCTCGCCGTCGCCGTGGGCATCCCCATTGCGGTGCTGCTGCACGACACCGCCGGCCACTGGATGCCAACGAAGTGGCAAATCCCAATTGTCTCTTGGTTTCGCCGCAAGTGGCGGCAGAACCCGGAAGAGAAGTCGACGCACTTGACTCTGGCGCGAAACGCCGTCATGTTCTTTTTCGTGGCCATGGCACTGAGCGAGAGCACGTTTTACCAGACCCCGATGGACTACGTGGCGGACCGTGTCTCAAGTGCCCCCTCCACCAGGGCGTTTAACGACCGCATTTACAAGGCCCGTCGCAACGCCTTCTCTGCCGCAACCGATACGGTGGGTGAAGAGGGGCTCAATGAGGCGAACGTCCGGCAACAGCGTGACACGGCGCTGCGTCGCCGCTTCGTTCACGACAGCCGCGCGGCAAACTAGGGGTATGATGTTTTGTTTTCGGCAATGGTGGAAAAGAGAATGGAGTGCAGGGGGAAGCAGGCGGTGCGGCGCAAATGAGCTATAGTGTGTCAAGGCTAGTCAATGGGGCGGGAGAGGCAGTAATGGTAGCCACAAGAAGACCGAAAACTCAATGAGGGGTAAAAGGAGCGTGTGACCCAGAGTACCAGCCTTCATTCCATTTCTGCTTAGGCTCTCACAGACATTAGACATGAACAACATTACTAATTACAAACGGAGAGACAAGACCCTACATTTTTGTTCCTTTAAAGATATTTAACCGCATGCGATTGTTACGGTGCAGCAGAGGTGAACGGATGAGGGGTGGTCGAACGGTGTGGGAAGATGCGAGAAGGGTAGAAGGTGGGAGGGAGATTCTGTGTGTGTGTGTGTGCGTGTGTGTGTGTGTGCTTGGATCTGCTCCTTGCTCCGTTCCCGCTTCTCCTTCTGATTCCTGATAACTGGATTCCCCTGCCACTGCGGTATTCGAGTCGCTGCCTCAGGAAGATGTTAAATGAATGCTTTTTTTTTTTTGTTACTATGTGTCTGTTGATTTGCCCGTCGCACCTTCCTACATTCCTGTGTCTGTTTCTCCCTTTCTTTTGTTTCCTTTTCCATTCACTCTGTAAGCTCTGTGCAAGCAAGGGAAGGGAACGCCGCACCACCATTTCGGCCCAGAGAACGCAACGCTGATAGAGGGTGCCCTCTCCTTTTTGTTTTTGTATCCTTTCCTTCCTGTTTGTGCGTCTGGTGTATTACACCGCCTCCCCCTTGTACAACTCGCATAGATGAGCCGGAGCGCCGACGCGAGTGTGCTGCGCGATGTGGCGTCCTGCCGGGACCTGCACCGCAGTCAGATGCCGGACCTCTCCACAGCGAGCGGGGCAGCGAAGGCGGTGGAGGACACGGTGCTGCTCGAGGTGCTCCTCCCGGCCTACGCAAAGCTGGAGGACCGTGAGGAGGTCTGTCGCGATCTCGGTGTCTTCGTGCAGACGGGGCGCGGCGGCCCCAACGGACTCTCGAGAAGGGTGTGCGTGCGACTCACTGACCCCGCCGACCCGTTCTTCCTCTTCGAGCTCGAGCTGCTCGAGGATGACTATGGCACCTTCAAGCAACGACTCGAGCTGCTGGTGGACTTCAGCGGATTCCCAAAGTACCTCGTGTCGATGCTAAATAGCGTTGTTTCCGGGCTGATGCCGTACGTTGTGTGCTTCGTGGTGGACAGCCGCGACGCGGCGCGGGGGACGCTGCGGGTGCTGGAGCGCACCGACTTCCGCACCGTGGAGCACATTTCCCTCGCGCTGCTGCGACAAGGCGACGCGGGGCAGAAGCGATACCTTGCAGAGAGATTCCAGCACTTTGAGCGCGCCTACACACGCGCCACGGAGGAATACCAGGCAGAGGCCGCAGCATCAGCAGCAAACATTGAGGCGTTGAAGAGTGAGGTTGCAAGGCTGGAGGGGAGTCGGGCAAGTTTGCGCGAGCAGTTGAATATGGAAGTTGCTAAGTCAGAGAAGAACCAGTTGGCCAGCGTCAGTCAGCTGCGTGAGGAACATGCCGGCCAGCTGTCGCAGCTGCGCAGCTCGTTTGAGTCAGAACTGCGTCACGTTACTAGAAAGGCGGAGGAGGTGCAAAAACAACTCATGGATGACATGCGCGAGAAGGACAAGGAGTTGCAGGAGGCAAGACAGCGTATCACCACGCTTGAGTCGTCGATTATGACGCTGCAGTCACAGATGCGAATTGCCGGAGATAAGTGCAACGCACAAGCGAAGGAGCTGGAAGGACTACGCACCTCAAATGATGAGCTTCAGAGCTTCCGCACACAAGCAACACGTTCACTATCTGATACTGAACTGAACTTTGTGAAGATGCAGGAGCGATTACGCGGTCACGTACAGACACTGAAGTCGAGAGAGGAAGAGTTGAAATCTCTGCGAGAGCAGTACCAGAAGCAGGACAACTATATCCGCATTATCACCTCGCAGAACGAGCAACTGACTGAGCAGAATAAAAAGAATGAGTTGTCACTAAGCAAGGCGCACCATATTATTGCAACCCAGCTAAAGCACATCAAAGAAGTGAAGGAGCGGGAACGCATGATGAGAAACCAAATACGAAGCCAAGATGCGCTCATGCAAGAGAAAATGAGTGCTATTGCCCGCTTGAGGGACGAGTTGGCGTCCTCGACTGAACGGGCACAGATCCTCCAAAACAAAGCCACAGAACTCCGTGATCAGCTTGGGAAGACTGACGCTGCACGTGAAAAGCTCGCACAAGAACTTAAGCAGAGCCAAGACGCACTTATTCATCTTCAGCGAAGTACCAGTGTAAATGGACGGCACTGGTCTGTTTTGGCTGGCCCGAGCAGTGGCCACAACCTTGGCGTGGGGTTGAGTAGCAGTTGTGGCTCCAACTCGTACGACATCTACAGGGAATTTAATAGAAATGCCTCCTCCACGCTGCGAGGTGCTGGCGGCATGCCCCCATACGGATCGAGTGATGTTGCTGGCATGTCAACAGTCCATCCCAATACTGTCATGAATGTTGTCACCGACACAACCTCAGGTCTGGCTGTTGGCCAGCAGCAGCAGCAGGGACTTCCTGATTCAACAAGCAAAAGCACAGCCAATGGTGTTACGCCAGCTGCAGAAGTTGCCACTGGTAGTAATGAGGCAAAACCTTCTTCTACCACAGCGGGGACTTGTGCAGCGAACGGGAGATACACCCGTCAGCCGCTGGATGCAACTGCAATCAATGTAGCGTTGAATCACACAACACAGGCGTTCTCTAGCAAAAGCTTTTTAAACGATGGGGCTAACAAGGCAGGCCTCATGTCAAACACTGCTTCATTCATTGCAAAGGCACCAGCTGTAGCAGCAGCAGCAGCTCCCAGCTCATACTTTTAAAGCCCAAAGGAAACCAGGCCGAGACACTTGTTACTATGAGAGTAGAAGATGTAACAGTGGCGTGCGGACCGATGTATGTTTGCGTAAAGGGAGAAGGGAAACTTAACTTGGTTTCTTTCGTTGTTCTGCTTCCGGCGATGTCGGTGGCATGGGGGTTTTCCATAGAGAGAGAGAGTATGTGTGTGTGTGTGTGTGTACGGGAGCAAGCTTGTCTATGGCCTTTTCCACGGCAAGTCTTGCCGTACGCCGCCCCAATGGCGTTATCATAGAGCCCTGTGCAATTTTTGATTTGGTGTATGGTATTGTGAGTGGGTATGGGTGACTGCCTCTGGCAGTGTCGGCGACCGAAGCGAATGCATGTCGAGTCTGGTGGTACATTTAATTTTGCCTTACTCTGTTTCCGTCGCTTTCTCTCTCTCTCTCTCTCTCTCTTTTTTCCCCCTTGTGCCTTTTCTTTTCTTTTTTGCTGTGAGCGGCCTACGCGCCCCGTAGTTAGCTGACCAGCACGGACGGGAGTGGTGAGAAGAGTGGGAGACAGCAAGGCGGCAGTGGTGGTGGTGGTGCAATGGAACAGAAGCCGAACTTCGGCGCCGCCGGAACCGTCGCTCTCTCGCCAGTGTCCCAGAACACCCGCGTTGTGACGAATGTAGGCGTGAGGCGCGCCGAGACGTGGACGCCTACATCGCGTGCGGGCACGCGCACGAGTACAAGACTTTCCTACGGCAATGGTGGGCGCTTCCCAGATGGGATGAATCGGGGAGAAGCCGAGGTGGCCAGGATCAGCAAGAACTTCAGAGCCAGGCGCCTTGATGCCTCGGTGCGTCTCTCTGAAGGTGACGTTGTGGTGTACGAATTTGTGTCAGATGAGGGAAAGTGGGGGTGGTCTATTGGCACAGTTCTTGCACCTGAGCGCGAAATCAGGAGCAACAACAAAAATATTATCAGCGGCAACAGCAGCAGCGCCAGAAGCAGTGGTGTTGTGGTGTCCAGTCTTGTGAAATTGGCGTGCTGGAAACTCTCGACGGATGCACAAAGCGATGACACGAGCAAGTCCTCTGACCGCGTGCAGAAGGTGGTGGAGAGTGGCGAGAAGACCGTTGAGGCAATACGCCAGCAGCAGGAAGAGATCGAGGAGGAAAAGGCTGCACTGTCGCGCGAGCTGTACGTGAAGGAGGTCGACTATTGCAAGAGCGTCGCCAACGCCGCACGGCGGGCTCTGCGCCAGGTGAGTCAGGCACAGTGGGCGGAGCTGTTGTGTCTGCAGCGGCCACCGCGAGCAGTGCGGCTGGCGGTGCAGGCGGTGTTTGCGCTCCTGCGCATCGAGCTTCTGGTGGAAACGGAAGAGGCGGAGTGGGACAGTATGGTGAGCTTCATGCGTTCAGATACGTTTGGGAAGCTCCTTGCCGACAGTAATGCCGCATGGTTGGATGAGGCGCAGGCAGAACTGATATCGCAGCGGTTCTTGAAGAATCCGCTCTTCACGTTTACTGAGGTGAGGATGGGCTCGCGTGTTGCGGGGCTGCTGCAGAAGTGGGTGGTGGCGGAGCAGCAGCTCTATGAGTCGCGCGCCGAACTCCGGGCCGTCGACGCACGCTTGACCGAACTGAACCTTGAGGCGGAGCAGAAGGCATCGGAGCTGTGCCGCCATAGCAACAACTTCAGCAGCATCCGAAAGGTCAACGGGAAGGACAGTGAATATAAAATGAACTCTATTGGGCGCCGCTTCACAGGCCTCGACAACGTCGTTTTCATGCGCGGCAACGAGACAACAGTTGTAGTGCGGTCATGCGTTTTTTGCAGGCTTATTGCCACCACCGTGGCACTCTCACCAGGCCGCATGACAATCGGACGTGATCAACTCGCCTCCATTCGCAACGCTGTAATTGAGAAACACCCGCATGTGACGTTTGTGCCCGCTGTCAATGAGGCTGGCACCGCGACGCAGAAGGTGGGGCAGCTGCCTGACGCCACACGTCAACTGCAGCTAATGTGCGAGCAGTCATTCAGGCGCGAGCATCTCATGGTGAGTGAGTTGGAGACGCTCTACGATAAGCATGTTTGGTACACCAAGGCGGAGTTGGACTTGCTGCGTCGCTCCTTGTCCTCTAGAGGCTCTACTCCCTCGCGAAACACGAATTCTGCTGCGCAGCTCGCATATGCGCAGCGACAAGTGAAGGAGTTGGAGAATCTACTACGACAACAAGAGGAAAAGTTGCGTTCGGTGGAGGCAAGTAACGATGAGGCAATGAGGCGACTTAAGGAGCAATTAAGCAAAGAAATGGGGAAAAACTCAATGGTTCTCCAGAATCAGGCGTATATGATAAAATTTCAGCGCTCACGCTTGGAGCACGATGAGGAGATTACTCGTATGCGGCTGACTGCGGATGAGGCGCAGCAGCGGTCCTACATGCTGGTGCTTGAAATGCGGAAGTCGAAGGAACTTGCCATTGCTGACATGAGCCGCAAGTACCTTGAAGAGTTGAACGCATTGCGGCAGGAGCTTTCGGGTCGCGAGCGGCGTCAAAAGAAGACAGCCGTGATTCTTGAAGGTTGCCTCGCGAAGGCGTATGAGAAGCAACAACAGAAGCAAACAATCGCGCCTCTGACGTGTGTGGAAGATGTGGAGCGGGCACTCGACGTTCTCGGTGGCCCGGGCTGGCACGAAACGTCTGTCGCGTCAGTATCAAGTCACCTGTCTGAAGATCGTGGGCGATTACAACAACCATCCCGGAAGCGGCGTCTCCCTCCTCGCTCTGTCACCTCTGTAATGACTTTGGTGCAACAAAACGATCCGGAGGACGAAAACGTTTTAATTTTGAAAGATCGCCTGATTGAGGCGATGCGGGATCGCGAAATTATTCAAGACATGCTCTCTCGTGAAAAGGCAAGGAATCAAGTACTGGAAACGAAGGAGGCGGAGCTGCGTTCAGACTTGGAGAGGGAGGTGAAACGCCATGCTGTGCTGGAGGAGATGGTTCAGAAACTGCAGGAGGAAATTACAACGATGATGTACTCTGGGCGCTCGTCATCTTTAGAAAATATTAATAGTATTACTGACAGTGAAGGTTCTGTTGAGCGGGTGAGGCGGGAGACACAGGGGGAGACTATTAAGAGGCTGAAGGGTGTCATAGCGTCGTACGAAAAACAGCTGGCTGATTTGCTGATGGAGGAGGGAATGGTGGCGGACAAGGTCTCCTTCGCCACCCTGCGGGACTGTATTGCAAGGCTCAAGTCCTCATGTGGGGCAATGCGGGCGGAACGGGATGCGCAGGCTGCCGACGCAAAGATGTTGGAGTCGTGCCTCAAGACGGCCGCTGACGCCTTGGAAAATGCGCTGGTGCACGACGAGCGATGGCGCCCGCGCACGACAGAGTCGTACCACACAACGTGGCATTGGAAGACGTTCCACGGTGATGAATGGGGACTTGTCATCGCCGAGACACCGGAGGCACTTCAAAAGGCACTGCTGCACGACATCGTGGCCGCGTGCCACCTGCCTGAGGAGTATGTGCTGAATCTCAAGTACCGTGATGACAAGACGGAGCTTCATGCGTCATTTGACTTGCGCCACGATCCGTCTATCAGTACCGAGGAGCTCATCCGCCGCCTGGACGAGTGCAACTACTACGCACTGGAGAAGCTATATAGACACCGTCATGCACCTGAAGAGGGAGTCGACAAGTTGAGGAAAGAGTTGCGCGCCAAGGAGGAGGAGGCGCGCATGCTGCGTGCCGCCATCGAGGAACTGCAGGACATCTAGAGGCCATGGATCCGCACGAGCAGTTAGCTGTGTGCTTGGTGAAATAAGGTATGTTATGGTGGTGTACACATGTTTTGTGCAGGTGAAGATGAAGACGGTATTTAGATGTTAGATTGTCGGCAAAAGATGCGAATGTCGCAGCGTTCCGATCTATAAGTATGAAACGAAACTGGAAATCCTCGCCCGCGCGTCGTTATTCGGTCTGCCTCTCCATGAAGCAGAGAGCGATCTGAGGGCACGATATTTGGGGTTGAATGAGGTAAGGGGAATGAATTGCGCATGTATCATCATCCATTTATGTTTCTCTGCTTGTGTATGTACTTAGGGTCTCTTTAGTTTTCAGCTCGGTTTGTTCCTTCATTCTACTGTTGATCAAACTTCGATTTTTGGACTATTAATGTCTGGTGGGACATTGCATGTAAAGAATCTCTGGACACGCAAAATCGGGCAAGATTTTCTTGTTGCTTTTGTAGCTATTTGTGGGCGATCGTATCTTGAGCTTCTTGTCTTGCTTGTGCGTTGATCGCCTTTATCAATACTTGGCGTTGTTTTTGCCCCTCCCCTTTATAATTTCCTCCTGTACGTCGTAGATACTTCTAGAAAAAAAGGGGGGGCGGTGGGTAAAGTGCGCAGTAGAGAAAAAAGTTGTTTTTGCCCCTCCGTGCAGAGTCCCTTGTTATACACCCTTACCTTCATCGCCGTTGTCATTGTTGTCTTCTTCTTTGTTCCTTGGTTGTTGTTGTTTTGTAGGTAGACATGTGAGACAGGCAGACGGTCAAAAATGAAAAGTAATGGTTTCTTGTTGTGTTGTTGCATCGTCAGTCGCTCGACCCGCTGCTGCTGCTGATGATGATGCTGATGATTCTGTTGTTCATGGTGTGTGTTCCGCGAGGGAAGAGACATATGAGCAGAGTGTGTTGTATGTGTGCAGTTTTTGATTGGAGGTGAAGCTGCGTGTTTTGTTGCGGATGGAAGCATGATTGTCGCACGTGCGGTTGCTGCTGCCTCGTCTGGTGCGGCCAGTGCCGCTTTCTTGACTAAATGCACCGCGGAGTCTGGGAGGCTGGTTCCAGGTGGTTTTGTGCTGCTGGTCGGTGATTGTTGTGTTGGGCGCGGGAACCATGTGTATTGTTCTGTCAGCACCCGGGAGGAGTGGTGTACGCGCCCGGGGCGTCGACGATAACGTACCGTTGTGCTGCGGCTGCGACGCTGAGGATCAGCTGATGCGATGCAGAGTAACGAACTGCTGCTAGGCATTGATACAATGATTTTGTGGAGTGGTTTCCTTTTTTCTTGCTTTAACTCCGCGTCAGGGGTGTATTTCCCTTCCTTCCCTTTTGATTTTTCTTTGCTGGGGGGTGGGGGCGTGCTGACACTCACCGCGGGGGGGTGGGCCTGGCAAAGCATAATCGTGCAAACATCTATAGTTTGTTGTAGCATTAAGACGCATGCGACGCTTTGTTTTCCTCTGCCGAACCCCACATGCAGCAGCAGCCGCTGTGACTGCCACTGCCGCCTTCGCGCCCTCGTGTCGACTGCAGACTACATATGCGCATGCTCCAGGTGAATCTGCGTCGTCAGCATCATCATCATCATCATCTGCCGCAGCAGGGTCAGCGGAAGAAGGAGGAAAAACATCGCAGCACAAGGCACAAGGGGAAGAGAAGCCTCGCGAGGGAACCGATGCCCTTGGGGCTCCTGCAGAGGCGCCAAAGCGCCGCAACATTGTGGTGCTCAGTAATACCACCAAGGGTGTCTACATACACCCAACCAACCACATTGCATCGTGGTACTGGTTCGTCACAGACTTCCACAAGTGGTTCGTCGGTATTGTCTTCCTATTTGTCGGGTCGCAGGTCCTGGCGCGGTATCGTGTGGCGAAGATGCAGACTGTTGTGCAGGCGCAGCTGGGGGAGAACCTCCTCGACCAACGTACACGTGACTTGTTGGGCGACATTGAGGTGCTGCGGCGCAAAGACCCTATTCGCCTCGAGCAGGAGGCGAACGTGTTCCACGAGCAGTTTTGGAAGCGTCGTGCTCTCTCAGTGTCGGAGGCACGGAATGAGGTGCGGAAAGTAGAGCTCCAGCGCGGCATAATGCAGGGTCAGGCACGAGGTACCGACATGACGGAGTGGCTTGGTGCCAAGGCGAAGGATGATGAGGAGCGCGAAGTGGCACGGCGCACGCAGGACTACATTCAGGGATTCCACCAACACCTCAAGTCCAGGCGCCTTATTTGATTTGTCACCACTTTTCTTTTCGTCTTAGTCCGCTATGTGTCTGTATGTGTGTAGAAGAGCTGCGGTGAACGAGCAGGATTCTGTGGGTCACCGTTCCTGGCGCTGCTCCTCCTACATGATGACAAGGGACGGGGAAAACTTTCGGCTTTCTCTGAAGGGGTAGAGGCGCGTGATGCCTTTTTGTTTGTTCTCTTGATTCTGTTGCCTTCATGTTTTGCTTTGCTTTTTGGTTTTAGTTTCTGACATCTTTTTTTTTTTTTGCTCTTCCCTCCCTCTCTCATTCTCTCTGTGTAATTTGATATTTAGTGGCGACCAGGACAATGATGCGGGCGACTCAGTCCGCGGCCATCGCCGGCGGTCTCGTTGTGGGCGCGGTGTCGCTGGCGGTGTGTCTGTTCTTGCTGTGGTGCAGCGCGGCCACCTCGCTTGCCGCGCACGTGGGGGGTGGGCCGGCGTCGGAGCCGAATATTGTGGCGGAAACCATGCTGCTTCTCTCGGGTGTGGAGACGGTGGCGCATATGAACGTCGCGAACTACGCGTGCTTCGCTGTTATGGTCGTGCTCGTGGTTGTCCTCAGCCGCGTGGAAGGGGCGCTGGTTTCTGTTGAGCAGGCCATCGAGAAGAAGGCGAAACTGCCATCGGTGGAGCTTGTGCGGCACATCAACGACAACTACGACACCGCCTTGAGGCTAGGTGGCGTTGCGCATAAGGAGAAGCGGATGAGGAAGAGGTGACGTGTGTGATTCGCATTTCTTGCACACACTTCTCTGCACATTGGGCATCAATGGAACAGACTACTGCAGAATGAGAGGAGAAGCTATTTCTTTCACATATATTTTTTTGTTGCTTTTGCTTTCATTTTGCGTATTTGTTTTTTTTTTTTTGTTGTTGTTTTTTTGCCACCGCTTGCATCCTATACACATGCACAATGTCTATATGCAAAAATAGGACGGGTTGTGGTTGACTGCCAAGGTGGTTAGGGTGGCGCAGGTGCTGTTGGCGGAACCACGGCAATGGTGTGGGCGGCGCAAAGGTTTGTGGCGAAGGGGCCTCTTCGCAACACTATGATACGGCGCCGGCGCTTTGTGCCGCCGTGGGAGCGCGACGGCAAGAGCGCCGAAGATTTCTTTGCTGGTCTTTTGCAAAGCGGAAACCCGATGCAGACGAGCAGGCGAAATAACAAGCGTAAGGAAGAGAGCAACGAAAGGGCCGTTGAGGAGGCGCCGTCACTAGAAGAGGAGAGGCGTCTTGCGGCGATCCACGCGCACAATGAATCCGTTTTAAACCAACGAAACAACTTTGTGCCGTACGGAGCGAAACCGGTGGTGTACTTTGAGAGCAGTCAAATGGCTGCCTTGGGGGATTACGAGGCGATGCTGCTGGCGTCCACCGGCTCGGCCGAGCAAAGCAGCAGCTACTCTTCGCCTGTACGTGAGATGCTGCAGGCGGATTTGCATCAGAAGCTGCCCTACAGGTATGAGTCTTATGTGGAGCCACGCGGCAAACAGGCCCTGTGGCCACTGCACGGAACTTCCGGCATTGTTCTTGACATCGACGGTGTTGTCTACCGCTCGCACAAGCTTATTGAAGGCTCCGATGCCGCGATTCGCAAGATTATGGAGCTCCACATCCCACTACTTTTTATGACAAACGGAGGTGGACTCTCGGAGGAGGAGAAGGCGGAGGAACTCTCGCAACTCGTGGGGTGCAAAATTGATGACTCTCAGATTCTCCTCGCCCACTCTCCGATGAAGTTGTTAGCGCCACTGTACAAAAATCAAAACGTGTTGGTGGTGGGCCGTCCACGCTGCGCTGATGTGGCGAAGATGTACGGTTTTAACCGTGCCATGTCTATTCTTCAGTACCAGGTGGAACACCCAGATATGGTGCCCTACAAAAAGTGGGGCAACTTGAAGAAGTGTACGCCAGGCAGTGTTGCCTTCCCTGAGATTTCCGCCATTCTGCAGTTCAGCGACCCGGACGACGCCTTCAGTGACGTGCAGACAATTCTAGACGTACTACTGGCGCCGTGCGGTCAAGTGGGGCGTTACGTGTCGAGCACACAGAGCATTCCATACTATGTCTCAGCTGATGACCTGCTGTGGGCGACGGATGCGCCGCTTCCACGACTTGGTCAGGGCGCCTTCCGCGAGATGATGTCAGCCGTCTTCGAGAGCGTCACTGGCCACGGGCTGCATGTGACACCGTTTGGAAAGCCGCGCGCCATTGCGTACGCCTACGCGGAGCGCCGCATGGAGGAAGTGAGCGCACGCCTTGGTTGGGATCCACGGGCGCTTCGCGCCATCTTCATGGTGGGTGACAATCTCGAGACGGACATCCTCGGTGCCAACGCGCGTGGCGGCAGGTGGACGTCGGTGCATGTGCTCACCGGCATCGGTGCCGCACCTGCCGCGCGGCGGACACTTGCGGAGGACGACGCGGAGCATGAGTGGCTCGAGGCACAAGTGAGCAAGACGCCTCACTACGTGGCGCCCACGTTGGACCACTTCCTCCGTGAGCTCCTCGCCTTCCCGGAGGCGGCGCTACTACAAAACAAGAAGCCGTATTACGGGATGCCGAATCCCGTGGATCTCCGCGAGACATATAACTTTGCGCCTGTGTGATTATAAACTCTCCACTGCGAAGAGATAACCCGCAGAAACCGATGAAAAGGAATGGAGCTGCCGAAGACTCTGTGGTGGTGGCTGTGGATGGGTGTGTGTCCCCGCCCCATTTTACTGAGCGCAGCTATGTAACAAGGGGCTCTGATGCGCCTTTTTTTTTAGATGGATTGTTGCGTGTTCCACTATAGCGTCAAATTGCTTCATTTTTTTTGTCCTATTTGTACGTAATCATGTTAATTACAGGTAGGAGAGTAAGGCGTACAAGTGCCACACGGACACGCGCCGACACCGAAGAACTTCCATATGGTGAATGTGCAGAGCGCCGGAGAGGCGCTGCTCCAAAACCCGCAGTTTATGGAAATCTTCCAGCGCGCACTGGGTGGCGAGGAGCACATCAAGGACATCCCACCAGAGGGCGACCCGCGACGCGAGGAGTGGCTTCGTGATATCCAGAAGAAGATTCAGGAGGAAAATATGAAGTCTATGAAGGCCAAACTAGAGGAGGTACAAAGCGACGAGAACGGCCAGTGGATGTATGTTATGCCGGAGCCAGGATTCTGCGTTAAGTGCACGACGGCGGGTGGTGGAAAGGTATTTGTGAATGTCTGCCAACACGAACGCATCGCTGAGCCTATTCCAATGGATGATGCAGAAAGCACTGATGAGGTGAAGTTCAAGATTCCCCTGAGTTGCGGCCAGGCGAGACCAGAGTCAGACAAGAGCGGCAAGCCATGCAAGGTGTATGATGTGATTGTTAATCCGTCAACGGTTCAACGTTCCTCAGGCGACCATGAGTTTCGCTGTTTCGTTATTTCTCTGTGCATCCACTGGATCAAGCAGAAGTGCGAGCCCACGCTGAAGACGGAGGAGTACCGAAATATGAACTTTAAAGTGAAGGGTGCGTTAGAACCGCAGCGAATCCGCATCTCAAGTGTGCCCAAGGCGGCTAATGCCCTGGGAGACGAGATACGTCTTCCGCAGAATACAAGCGCGGCATCGCCACTCACGCATGTGGGCGGCCGCAGCGGAAAGGGAAATCTCGTGGAGGAAGTGAGTGGGCCGTCACCCGCTGCTGCACCTGCTGCTGCTACTGATTCTGAAGGTGCTACTGCTTCTCTGCAAGAAGAAAACGATGCCTTGAAGAAGCCCTCTCTCGCAAAACTACAGTCTGAAGGCGCGTATGATTGGACAACGCACATGAAGCCGATGCTCAACCCGTACCTGCGGGAAAATGTTCCCGCCCACTACATCGTGGAGGTTCACATTCCAACGGTGACGACGGTCGCAGAGGTGGAGGTGCGCATCACACCCAAGTTGATAGAGCTGCTCTACGTTGACGCGGAGGACGATGCACCGTTCCTGAGAGTCCCACTGGACTACCCCATAGACGAGGACGCGCCGAACGCCAAGTTCGTCCGCAAGACGCAGATGTTGAAGATGAAGCTTACGGTGAAACTCCCCGACGAAACCACCGAGCCTGCCACCAAGGCCGATCGCGACGTGGTGGAGATCGAGGAAGAAGAAAACCGACGGGCGCGTGAAGAGCGGGAAAATGAGTTGCGTGAATACCGGCAGCGGATGGAGCGGAAACGTGAGGAGGACGAAGAAGTTATGAAGGAGCGACGGAGTTATGTGGAGAACTTGGCAGCCGTGCAGGAGGGGGCGGTGCCTCCTAGCCTCAAGGAGGAAGTAGACAAACTCCCGCCGGACCAACTCAGCGCCATGCTTCAGCGCTTGGAAACCAAGACTCGCAGAGGTGACTCCATAGACGAGATGCTCGAGAAGTTTCCAGAGAGCATGATAGATGCCATCTGCCGTTATATACGCAGCAAGTTGGGCCTTGAACAGAGGCCGTTAAGCGATGGTGATAAAACAAAAGCTGATGGAAATAGCGGAGCCACCACGACGACCACCACCACAACAACAACAGCGCCACCCCCAGTGGGGACAGCAACAACAACAACAGCACCGCAGTCTATCGATGGCGCTATGGAAGAAGATGGGCGCATCGAGTACAATTTCGCAAAGAAAGCAGAGAAGCTTGTTGGTGTGGCGTTTCACAATCGTTACCTTTTCGCTCTCGACTGAATCAAATCAAAGGTTGTGGTTGACGTTGTTTCTTTATTTGGTTTCGTTGTTCTGCAGACAGGATGTGGGAATATATTTGAATATTCGTAACGGGTCATGGCTGTGTTTTACTATTGTGGCATTCGCCTCTGGACTGAAAACCAACAAAAAAAATGACGAGAGGAATGCGGATGTACAAAGACGACAACATCACCGGTAGAAGGAGAGGAAGAGGAGAGTCAAAGAGCGGCAGCGCCGGAAAGTGGAAACTATCACATTGTTATTGGGTGACACACCTCCGTTTTTCTTCTTCCCCACTCTGCGTGAGAGACCTCTGAAGGGCAGGAGGGAGTAAATTGACAGAACGTACGAAACCCACTCAAAGGGTGAGAAAAAAGCTGATTAGATAGAAAAAATATATATATATATATATATTTATAGTTATATTCTATATGCTACGCCGGACATTTCTGAGGTCTGTACACCTGTTCAATGCACTAGTGCCTACGAATGTTGCGCAATGCCCGCACTTGATCACTGCGGATGCCCTTGGCACTGCAAAAAATGCCGTCTCAGAGTCAGAAAAGTTCATTGGCAAGGTGCCAATGGGTGTAGCGTTGGATCTGTTAGCTGACCTCTCGGACTTTCGCAAGCAGCGAGAGGTGGACAAAGTGTTGGAGGAATGCATCACTTCGTACCGTGCCGAACTCTATAAACCCTCAGTGACAGATCCATTTCAACGCCTGCAGCTGCATGAAGCAATTATGGCTGCGGGTTTCTATCAACGATCGGCGAAAACTAGCGTTCTCAAGGGCGAAAGCACGAGGTTTGTGCTGCATCATTACAACTTTGATGTACGCCGCGATACTNGCGAAAACTAGCGTTCTCAAGGGCGAAAGCACGAGGTTTGTGCTGCATCATTACAACTTTGATGTACGCCGCGATACTGTCATAACACGTACGGTTCATAAGACTCTACTGGAGAACCTTACTTCAACACCAGAGTCGGACAAGCTTCTCAGTGACCTTCTGCTGTTGGAGCGCCGGCTGTTCGGTCGGTTGCGCTTCGCACCCACCGCTGGGCGGCAGTGGTTTGTTTTGGGGCTTCCCTTTGAAGATATCAAATCAGAGAAAGACATTTATCGTGTGCTTGGTATTCCAGTAGTAAAGACAAGTGGAAATTTTGAGTTGCGGGAGGACGCTACGGAGAAGATGTGGAAGAAGATTATTGTGTCTCCAAAATCTGAGGCTGCCAACAGTTTTGCTGAGGAAGGAGGATTTACACCGCACCATGCGGAAAGGGAACTGTGCTTGGAGCGACGCGTTCAAAAACCAGCTCCGCCAATGGAGTTTTGGGACCGCGTGAAGGACACTCTCCTGCGGTACTGGGTGATATGGTTCTCCTTGTGGATCATGTTTTTTATGGTGGACGAGGAGATTATTACTATTGTGGCCCTTATACTTCTCAAGTGGCGGCAGACGCAAATACTGGAGGAGGAGGCAGAGAAAACGGGGGGCAAAGTGTACATTGCATCGTCATCGGGGCGCTCCCGCTAAAGCCACTCACAGTGGCACGTAGATGTGGTGTATCCAACCCCCTCCTTTGTTGTTGGTATCTTTGATGGGGAGGTGGGGCAAGGTGATGGAGTATTGATATGTGAAAAGGAAGGGTTGAGGGAAGAGAAGATAAATGTTCCGTTCCACTTTCCATTTTTTTTTATTGTTGTTTCTCTTCACGTGCCATGTTTGCTTTTGTGCATTTGTAGTGTAGATCAATTCTAGTGATTGAGTGCGTGTGTAAAGAAAATAAAAAGGACCTCAATAGAATCAGCAATGGTAGGGTGTATGCGTAGATGCGTGTGGTCGAGGTTGCTCGTCTTCCTCGTGTTCTTCTTTCTGACATCGAGCTTTACACCTGCTGCCTTGGATTGGGCTTTGATGCAGCGACGCACCAGTCTGCAGGCAATCCTCACGCGGATGAGTCCTTACTTTGTGCGCATACACACAGCCCCCGATACGGAGGACTACTACGGGTTATGGCGGTATCATGATTTTGGCGCAGACGCTTATCGTCAGCCAAGGACTTCAGGTATCCCTGCTGTCCCCATCGTGTACGTTCACGGTAATGCCGGCAGCTTCCAAGATATGCGCTCCCTTGGGCGGTTTGTAGGAGAGGCCAATGTGCAGCAACGACACCGTCGTGCTGAATACTTCAAGGAGGACGTCAAGCGTGCGCTCTTCAACATCTACAAACAGGAGAAGCGAAGAATGCCAGTAGATGGGGAAGAGATTCCAAAGGACCTTCAACAGCGAGCTGAGGATGCCGTATTGGCAGATACTCCTCTGTTAGGGGCTGAGCTTGTGGGGGTGGATTTTGTAGAGGAATCTAACACACACAGTGGTATTTTGTTGTTAAAGGAAGCCCGGTTTTTGAATTACAGCGTTCACCTGCTTTTGCAGGGGCTGATGGATCACTACAAGGAAGTCCTCACTCACACTAAAGGTGGCATAAGGAAGAAGAGTGGGGACCCTGTCCCCAAGCTTAGCACAGTGAGCGCTGTAGAAACGGAATACATTGATAGTGTGTGTCAGGTGCAAGAGGAAACAATGCAAACGAAATCAGCATGCTCTATTGCAAAGGAACAGCTTGATACGTTCTCCTCTGTTGAGCGCATACGACGAGAACTGGAGCGGGTGCAGAAGGAAGGCATTTGGATGTGGACAGAATCACTGGGAGGTATTGTAGCCGTATTCGCTGCCGTACTCGCACCACACATGTACGCTGGTCTGGTCATGGCAGGGCCACCGCTGCGCTATCCTCCGCTGCTTTTCGATATGAGTTGTGTGGATTACCAGCGAGTCGTACACAATGCGGTGATGGTGTCGTACGCGTACAGTAACGCTTCTAAGCAGCGTGACTGGTCAAAAATTGCTGATGCCAGATTCGCACCCCTTGATTTGCTGCGGAACTTACGTAACATTCCATCGCAGGAGATAGCGGCGCGGATGGCGAGTGTCAGCATGATCACCATCCACGGTGGCTCATTGGAGGACATTGTTCCGCCGCGCAGCTCTTTCGTGGCGCGGTCCACCGGCCGCTATGCTTCATCATCAGAGCACCAGCAGCTCCTCCCAAAGGCGCCCCCCCCAGCTGGGCGCAGGGATGTGTGCACAGAGGAGCTGCGTGGTTGCGGTATATCTCTCACCCATCGCGGTCTCGTGTACGCACAGCAGCTGCTTGATGTGGCGGGGGACTCACTTGTTAAGGCAGCATTGACTCCAAAATCGGGTGAACTTATGGGTATCGAACCGACCATTCCACCCACGAGAGATCGATTGTTTCCAATGGTTGTAGAGACATTTCCCCATTCGTTGGATACTCACCGCATCGAGGAGTTTCACTTTGTGAACTCTCTCAATGAAACAGAGGGGCATGACGGGTACCGCAAGGAGGAGACCTCTCGAGTACTAAGTGTGACAATGACAAACGTGTGTGTGGAGGGCAGGAACATGTTGAATTTGCAGGAAATCCCAACAGATGAAGAAAGAGACAGCGAGTCTTGGAAGCCGCTGCATCTTTTCGTTGGGGCAACAACATACATCCCACAGGATGTCTACCTTCCAACATTAACGCTGGTGGATGCGGAGCAGAATGCATCTTTCCCTGACATGGAGGTAACATCACGTGCAGCAACCAAGCTGCACCTTCCGATACGTCGGAAGGACGGTGAACCCACCGAGGGGAACGTGTTGCAAACCGTAATCAGTTTCCAGCTACTGCAGAAGAAGCGGCCGGTGTCACCGAGGTGGGTGCGCCCGCTGTTTTGTTTTTCAGTTTACTCCACAAAATTAACGAAGCGTCACTTTTCATTTGTTCAACACGATATTATTGACCCACTGCGCGAGACGGCTTCTCCCATGGCACAAAAGGAGGCTATCACCGCACAGATGAGTGGCCATGTCTCCGTGGAAAACTACGGTAGGTTTGCGCTCATCCGAAACCTGGATAGTATATCAATGGAAACAAATATGGTTGTGCGTGCCAAGGACGGCGTCGTGTTTCCCCATCTTATATGCGGTTCCTTCCGCTCTTTCCGTCTGGCGTTTCGCGGCACTGAGGGCCTTGCGATGGACGAGCCTGAGTCCCAGTTGCAGTATTTCTTTGGCCCATACGAAGAAGGGCGCGAGACATTTCACTATAGCTGGCGCCCGTTTCATACTGTGCCATTCAATCTGACCAATATTTATGTAGCATACCTGCTGACAGCAGACGAGCAACCGACGATAAACCTTGTTGATCTGCAGATGTACCAATCACCCAGATGGAATGATCACAATTACTGGGTTTGGCGATTTAACCAATGGACAATGCGGTGGATGGCGGTGTTGTCAACTTATTCTGTATCGGGGAAGTTTGTGGGATGCTATGTACTTTCTTTTCTTACCATGTACGTTACATTCTATATGCCCCGTTTCGTTGGACATAGGACGGAGTCACAGTTGAGTTTGCGGACTCTGCGCAGTGTGAGCCCTGTTTTAATGGTTCTAATCGTCAGTCTTGGGTTGGAGTACACTTCCAGTGCTTTGGCAAAGAAGACGATGCGGGTTTGTCTTGATGATAACCCTCCGTTGAAGAAGGATGAAGAGCTTACGGCGATGATGAGTCTCGCGGAAAGGCTGACGCTGATGTTCCTCTATGCCCTTCCACCACGCTACGAAGAGTGTAAGTATTCTTGGATACGTATGCAAACAGTTCCCCCGGGTGATGTGCAAATTGATCATATGCTGCACTTGGTGTGTGCATTCTGCTTCGCTGTGTTGGTTTTCCTTTTTGAATGCGCAGTGTTTGCTCTGACGCGGATTGTGTCGTTTGTGTGTCAATTTCCATTTAGAAACCGTCTCCGCCGTGTTGGAATTAGTCCATGGGTGTTGGGTTTGTTGTGGTGTATGCCCATCGTAATGCACGCCACAATTCCATGGATGCACATCTCTATTACAACAACGGTGGCTTGTTTGGTGTCGTACTGTGTGATTTGGTGCATTCCATACGAAGTACTTGTCGCAGGCGGCCCGCAGTACCGCTGGTTGTGTTTCCTACTAGTCATGCTCGGGCACCTCACCGCTCACTTTGAGGGTCTCGTGCTGGTTTTAAGGAACTACTTTATTGTTTCACCAGTCACGCTGAGAGACAAGGAGCGGTGCACCACGCTCCTAGAGCATCTTGAAGCCTTTGCAATTGTACAATGTAATTTGGCTGTTGTTTACACTACCGTTTACCTCACACTCCGTCATCACAGCGGTGTTGTGAGCGACGTGGCGTCGAAGAAAAAGGAGGTTGAGGTAACGAACTCCACAGGTAGTGCACTTTGTAGAGAAAACGGTACAAACCTGAAAAGAGATCAATTGCCTTATGTGCTCGGTGACTTTGGGCGCCGCTATCCTCGTTTTTGGCGGCTTCTGCGGATATGTTCATCCCTCGTCATTTTGCTTGGTCTGTGGGTCAGCCTAGTTTCTCTGCGTCGGCCACTCGAGGGCAGTATTGCTCTGCTTGGAGTGTGCATTATGGCGGTGTACGTGGCGCTTGTTTTGGTCAGGTTGTGGTGAGAATTTGGACTGTGACGTCGCCAAACGCCACGGGGCAATGCGGCGTTATTTCGGGCCCTCATGCCAACAAAAAAAAAGGCGATGGAAAGCCGTGAAGGAGTGAAGAAGGTACAAAAAAATTATATAAATAACGAAATAATTGAGTCTTAATAGTGATGGGATAAAGTGGGGACTGTTTCCTACACATTTCCGATTTCTTTTTTTTTCTCAGATTTCTTATTCTATCTCTGATTGCTTCTACTTCGTAGAGCAAGCGAGACAATCAATAATGCGAGAGATTGTGTGGTTTCCAGTCCTTGAGTAAATTCCCTTTTTAACTTTTTGTTTTTTTCTTTGCATGGCATTCTTCTTTTTTTCCCTTCCTTGACTAATCTCTAGGCACCTTAACATTTCCAATACGAATCAGTTTCTCCTTCATTTGAGGTAGAAGGTCCCTCTTCCTCTGTGTCTGTGTCTGTGGCGCCATGCCCGCTGTGCACGAAGAGTGGAAGCGAATGGAGAGCGGTACCAAAACCGGCTGGCTATTCAACTACCACCCGACGACAGTTGTTACAGAGGACGCATCGGCGGAGCGGCAGAGTGGAGTGTCGGGTCGTGCAGCCCTCGTTCTTCTTTTTCAGGACCACGAGAGAGAAATATTCCATGTGAATCTCTTCTACAACCCATACATCTTTGTTGGGGCCGTGGAGGGGCATGAGCATGAGGTGGAGCTGGGTCTCATGTCGCTCTTCGGTCCACAGCTGATCCACCAGATTGAGACAGTGGGACGAGAAGACTTGGACCTCATCAATCACCTCAGCGGGCGCAAGCGGATCTTCTTAAAGGTTGTATTCTGCAATGTGCAGAATTTGACAACAGTGCGAGGAAGAGTCGAAAAAATTGTAAAGCGCAACGCCTCTATGGGCACTGCCAACCCGCTCTTAAATCCATTTGAAGGTTCACTGAGTGACGTGATGGCGAAGACGTTTGAGGACGACCCTTTCAATGTCAATGTGTCGTCAGAGCGGTGGTTTGATTGGGTGCATGAGGTGCGGGAGTACGACGTGAAGTATCACATGCGCGTTGCAATCGACCTTGGTGTCTTTGTTGGCGTGTGGTATGATGTCACGGTGCGGGAAGGGGAGGCGCAGGTGATACGCTGCGATGATAGCGCCTATGCCCCTGCCATGCCACTGGTGTGTGCGTTTGATATTGAGACGACAAAGGCACCTCTAAAATTCCCGCAGCCTGAAGTTGACCAGATTTACATGATTTCGTACATGCTCGATGGGCGCGGCTACTTGATCATCAACCGTGAAATCGTCACGGCGGATATTAATCAATTTGAGTACACACCAAAGCCAGAATATGAGGGCGTCTTCGACACATTTAACGAACCCGACGAGAAGGCTTTGCTGCGGCGCTTCTATGATGAGATGCGAAAGTACAAGCCAAACGTGTATGTGACATACAATGGGGATTATTTTGACTTCCCTTTCATTCACGCACGATCAATCTTTCATAATTTAAGCTTGCGGGACGAAATTGGTTTTACACAAGGCGCAGATGGTGCTTTTCTTAACCAAAAAATACCGCACCTCGACTGCTTCTACTGGGTGAAGCGTGACAGCTATTTGCCTCAGGGAAGCCAAGGCCTCAAGGCAGTGACGAAGTACAAGCTGGGTTTCAACCCCATCGAGGTGGACCCGGAGGACATGCTCCCGCTGGCGCAGACAAACCCACAGCAAATGGCCTCCTATTCTGTTTCTGATGCCCTGTCAACATGGTACCTCTACCAGAAGTATGTCCATCCCTTTATCTACTCGCTTTCAACGATCATTCCCATGGCACCGGATGACGTGCTGCGGAAAGGTTCTGGGGGTTTGTGCGAGTCACTGCTGATGGTACAGGCGAACGCGAATAATGTCATTTTCCCAAACAAAAAGGTGCAGCAGCTTGAAAAGTTTTTCAATGGTCATCTTATTGATAGCGAGACGTACATTGGAGGTCGTGTGGAGGCCCTTCAAAGCGGGGTATATCGTAGCGATATCCCTCTCAACTTTAGCATGAGCCCAGATATGTATCAGAAGCTTATCAATGATCTTGATAGTGCGTTACAGTTCGCCTTGGAGGTGGAGAATGGTGTCAAGAAGGAGGAGGTGACAAACTACGAGGAGGTGCGAGATGCCGTAAAGGCGAAGCTGGAGGATTTGCGAAATCACCCGCGTCAACAAGCGTGTCCCATCATATACCACCTAGATGTTGGAGCCATGTATCCCAATATTATCCTCACAAATCGATTGCAGCCGTACGCCATCCCAAAGCCAGATGTGTGTGCTGGATGCTGCTTTAACTCACCAACCAATGAGCATCACTGCAAACGTGCCATGACATGGAAATGGAAAGGGGAAATGCTCACGGCTGGACGCCACGAGTACCAGCGTATCAAGGCACAGCTAGAAAATGAATCATTTGCAGCCGCTGTGATTCAGCAAGCAAACTTGGCTGCAGTCCAGAAGAAAACTTACGGTAATCGCAAAGGAAACGTTTTGGAAGGAACGGCGTTTGAGCGAAAGCCGCGTACGAATTTCAAACGGCGTGGTGATGGGAATGGTGGTGGTGGTGGTTATCGGCATGAGAGCAACCACCAGCGGCAGGAAGCACGAAATGCCCTGATTTCAAAGGAGTTTGATAAAAAGGACAGAAGCGGTAGCGACGACGACGATGATGATGATGACGGGCAGGAAGGTGGACTAAAGGCATTTCACAAACTACAGGAGACCACACAGTTTAATATGTTAAAAAAGCGTCTTGCAGAGTACAGCAGAAAAGCCTATGGCAAGATACACGAGTCCCGTGAGATCATGCGCAGTGATGTGGTGTGTCAGCGCGAGAATTCTTTTTACGTTGACACAGTGCGTCTATTTCGTGATCGTCGCTACGAGTACAAGGCTGCACTTAAGACATGGAAGAAAAAATTGGATGCGGCTAAAGAAGTGGATGATATAAAACTTTGCAAGAGCCGCTGTGTGCAAATGGAATCGCTGCAGTTGGCGCATAAGTGCATTCTTAACTCTTTTTATGGATACGTGATGCGCAAAGGCAGCCGCTGGTACAGCATGGAGATGGCTGGTATCGTGACGTACCTCGGCGCCACACTCATTCAAATGGCCCGTGCTCTCGTCCAGCAGATTGGCGTCACACTTGAACTCGATACGGATGGTATCTGGTGCTGCCTGCCCATGAGCTTTCCAGAGAACTTCACTTTTACGACGTCGAACCCATCCAAAGCGAAGGTTTCCATCTCATATCCATGTGTAGTACTTAACAAGATGGTGCACGACGACTATTCGAATCACCAGTATCAGACATGTGTGAGTCCCGGTGTTTACGAAAGACGCAGTGAGTGTTCGATTTACTTTGAAGTTGATGGACCATACTTAGCAATGCTGCTTCCGGCAAGTCGTGAAGAGGGAAAGAGTATCAAAAAGCGCTATGCCGTGTTCAACCCCGACAGCAGTCTCGCAGAGCTGAAGGGGTTCGAGCTGAAGCGGCGTGGCGAGCTTATGCTTATCAAGGATTTTCAGTCGCAGGTGTTTCGCCGCTTCCTCGATGGTGAAACGCTTGTGGACTCATACGCATCCGCCGCTGTGGTTGCCAACGCGGCGCTGGATATGTTGTACTCGAAAGGAGAGGGCTACGAGACTGAGGAAATCCTCGAGAAACTCTCGGAGAGCAGCAATATGACGCGCCGCCTAGCTGAGTATCCGGACTCGCAGAAGTCGTTGGCGCTCACGACCGCCCGCCGCATCGCCGAGTTCCTTGGCCCGCAGATGGTGAAGGACAAGGGCCTCGCGTGTCATTTCGTCATCTCGCGTCTGCCTTCTGGCCGCCCGGTGACAGAGCGGGCTATTCCCCTCACCATTTTCCGTGCTGACCAAACGCTACGCACACATTTTCTGCGCAAGTGGACAGGTGACAACTCGCTGCCAATGGATATCAACCTGCAGCAGCTGCTGGATTGGGAGTACTATATCACCCGATTTAACGCCTGTGTGCAGAAGATTATCACTATTCCGGCAGCACTGCAGCAGGTGCCTAACCCTGTACCGCGGGTGTTGCACCCAGACTGGCTGCACAAGCGTGTGCAGCAGCAGAACTCCCGGTTCCGGCAGGTGAGTCTTTCCGGTATGCTAGCAAAAGCAAGAAACAATGAAAACACTATCCCTGATGTGGAGGACCTTGTCACTCGCACTGAGGAAGGGACGGCACTTAACAGGACAGTGAAGGATAATAAGGTCAAGGACAGTAAGAACAAGAGCAACGACAACGCCAATGATATTGCTTACTGTGAAGAAGATGGCAGTGACTGGTCTGATGACAACTCAGTTATGTCAGATAAAGAAATCGACTGCATCCAGCGTGAAGAAGAGGCTGTAGAGGCACTCAAAAATAAGTACTTTTCGCCAAAGAGCAGTTACTCCCTAGATGTAGCCTTCTTCGCCGATCCCGCTTTCACCCCATGGCTTCAGCGGCAGAAAGAGGCATGGACACATCGAGCGAAACTTCGGCGGGAAATGGCAGTAGACGCGAACGACTCCACGCCTGCCGATGGGCCTGCTGTCAGTAGTCACTTTATTGACGTCAAGTCCAAGGCGCTATCGGCGATGTGGCACATCATGGAGGTGCGGCCGGAGAGAGAGGGATCTGGCATGGTGGTTGTCATTGCAGCGCTTGATAAGACGTTATATACATTTCGCTGCGCTGTCCCGCAGAATGTGATCGTGGACGCTGATATGCAGTTTCAAATTGCTGGTGCAAAGCCGTTGAAGAGCGGCCGAGTCCTACCGCGTGGCCGAAGCGCAGTGAATCTGCTGCAGGTCGAAATACCACCAGGGCGCGATGGGGAGCACATGCTCAACGAGATGCTGAGCGCGCGGGAGGATGTTCATGCCGTCTACGAACACTACATTACGCGTACAGAGACGCTAATTGAAAAGATTGGATGCTGTGCGACTGTGAGGACAGATGTGCACCTGCGCAACGCGCGGCGGCGTCCGTCTCTGCGGGATGTCTTTGATATGGAAGAGCTCGACAGCGTGGTGAGTACAAATTATCTCAGCAACTCTACTGACCGCTTTGCTTTTGTTTTCCATGCAGCCTCCGACACCCGCGGCTTACTTGGTGTCGTAAATCGTCACGCTAATACGGCTGTGGTTGTCTTTGTACAGCCCGCATCGGCACAGGTCCCTGTGGTTAACTGGGGCGATCTCTTTGTTGAAGCAGCGGCGTCTCTAAACACAACAACACCCTCAATTGAGGTTGCGACGGAAATGGCTTCAGATATATCAAGTGCATGGCGTATCATCTATCGAGTGTTGTCTGAGACTGTGGAGAGTGGAAGGTCACCAATGTTCGTTGTTGTTCAGAGCAACCAGTCGACTCCACACCTTCTTCAGCAGCGTTGTCTCCCGTCATCATTGCCGTACCTACGCGTACTCGGTGCGGTGGAGGATGAGCGACTGCTTGTCGACCCATTCCGATGGTCTAGGCTTCTGGCGAAGCGAATGGTGCAGCGGTATTGTGCCTCCCTTTTGTGGATAGAGGAGCGTGTCGCCTTTAGCCGCCTCTATGGCATACCACTCTGTAACCTCGCGCAGGATACGTGCGTGCATGTATGGGACGTCTTGTTTAAAAGGTCGCTGCATTCCCGCTCACATGTGTTGTGGAACTCCTCTGATGTTTCCATTGCCTTTGAGGCCGTAGAGGAGCTCCCCCGTCAAGTCGTCATGCCGGGCGGCTACTTCTCCTGGTGCGTGGAATTTAGCCTTGCACGACTTGATGTTGTTGCGGTTTTGTTTTCGCAGATGATTCAGGAGGGTGATGATCCCAATGTGCATATCCTCTGTGACCGCGGTGTGTCGTCACACTTCAACATTCTGCGGGACCTCGTGTCAGACCAACTCGGTCAGGTGGCGACAAGCTCCGTCGCGGACGCGCTTCTCTCCAGTTTTGCCCGTTGGATACGTGACCCTGCATCAGCCTGCTACGAGCCACGGTTGCTGGAGCTCGTGAGCAAACTCGCCCACCGTGCCCTCACGTCTGTCCTTATCCGTCTCGCCAAGCTTGGTGGCCGCACCGTAAAGGTGGATGGTGACTCAATCGTTGTACTGACACCGAAGCACACCATTCAGGACGCTATCAGTTTTACCCGCTTCATGGTGGACTCGCTGCAGGACCAGCCAATGCTGCTCCTTCTATCCCTTCAACCTGTCCGGTACTGGTGCCCATTTGTGTTGCTTGACAAACGTGATTTTGCCTGTCTGTACCTCACCAATGACTACGCCGTCCAATTGCATGAGAAGGAGCAGGCGCCACTTGGACAAATGGAGATGGAGCACGCCATCACCATTTGGAGCAAGCTGCCAAGAAAGGTGAAGAGTTTCTTTGTTCAACGAATTCAAAGCACGCTGAAACGTATTTCGGAGACTCGAGAAGCTGTGCTGCGTGATGTTCAAGCCGATACGACTTTCGCGCTTGCCACCCGGAACGAGCAGATTCTGATGCGTGTGGTCAAAGCTTTTAAATCGGCGGTTGAGAACAAGCTGCATGCAGATCTCATCGATGAAGTGCACATGCTCATGGAGCGCAAAGACCTCTATGAAGAAGGGGAGCTAGCAAGCGGTGAATCACCCTTGTCAAGCGGGGCTGTGGCACTGGAGTACACTAAATGTATTTGCCGGTTTCTTGATCTGTTTCCCAATGATGGGGCAGTGGGAAAGATGCGCAACAATTGTCTGCGCCTGTGTGGGGTGAGTCCCTTTTCTCCATTGGCGCAAGTTGTTCCGGATGTTGATGCTGAGTGCAGACTTTTGATGATGCGGTGCAGCTTTTGTAACCTTGACGTATTCCTCGATCTTGGTGTTCAGGAGAAACGACTGCGCTGCAACAAGTGTCACGCACCTATTTCGGCTGCTGCCCTAGAGTCCCATCTAGTGCGGCGCGTTAATGCTCTCGTTACAAACTACATGCAGCAAGACTTTATGTGCAGTAAGTGTCATGAGGTTGCGTCTGTCTTTATGAGTCAGAGTTGTTGCGGGACCCTTGTGGGGAAAGGGAAGCCAATCGCCCCACAGCTCCATGCAATGAAGAAGATTGCTGTGATTCAAGACTTCACGTGGTTGAAGGAGAGCGTTGATGCTGCTCTCCTGTATTCTTGAGGGAATATAAAACATGAGTTTTTTGTGTGTGTGTTATTTTGGGTGGTGGGTGGAGCCATAGAACGTGTTTGCAGCATAGACGCATCAAGTCCGACTAAAGATGAGACAAAGCGAAGGAAAGGTGTTTTTGTTTTAAGCCTGGGGGAGCTAAGAGGGGGGGAAGCCCCTTTGAGTGAAGGTGCGTCTCATCCAGTCAGTTGTGCGCATTCAACGAGCGCTTGTTTTTTTTTTCTTGTTTTTGTTGTTGTTTCGTTTCCTGAACATCATCAATGGGCGGAGCTGTATCCATAGTGTTTAGAGACGGTATCTTTATCAGGATGCTGGCGGTGACGCGGCTGCTCTACTTGCGGCCGCGGCACATCATGTTCACTCCCCCTCCACTCGCCAGGCGCCGAGGGATGTTTCGCTGTAGAGTGTGCAGCAACACTTGGAGCTCCTCGAATGTGTGGGTCACCAAAACAACACAGCGGGTGTATCAGGGCGAGTCGTGTGAGCAGTGTGGCACCACGGCAAAGCCTTTTTATGTTGGTCGACTAGAGGAAACAATATTCAACCGTGTAAAAACACCACACCCGGTGAGGCCTGGGGCGTCTAGCAGTCGACATGGAAAGAAGTTGAAGCACATGCGGTTCGACTGGCGGGTGCAACGCGGTCGGAAATGACAGGGTGTCACGTGACAGGTTTGGCAGCCATGTTGTGCTGCTGCTACTACATATGTTTGGATACTCCAGCACATGAATATGCTATGCGGAGAAAAAGTGCTTTGTGGATACCATTTTGCGCCGCTATATTTTCTTTGTTGTTAGTTTTTTTTTTTGCTTTATTTTCGTTCGCTCAAGAAATAGCCGATGTCCTTATTTCACATTCTTTTTGTTTGCTCCGTCATTTCCGCCATCGTATCGATGGTGTTCGGTGCTCTCATCCTGCGCTTATATATTCAAGCCGAACGAGCTCGAATCGAAGGGGTTTTGTTTGATCAGCTTGGCTCATGTTCCATCCTGTATTTCAACTGCACTTCGCCAACCGTTACACTTTTCGCTTCGGGGGTTGTGCGTACAGTGAAGGTGTGGGACAATGTCGCTTCCACATACTTTTGCAGCATCCCGTCCTCCTCTTATGTACCCTGTTGGTGGTCGGAAACCCCGAGGTTGTCGGCGTTTGTCCGATTTGGGCCCGTCCCCGTTGAAATGGAGTTGCTGCTACCATTCTCTGTTACACTTATTTGTGTGGGTGTTGCCGTTGCTGTTGTGGGTTTCCTGGTGTTGCTGCACCATAAAGCGAGTGGGGACAGTGGTTGGCTCTTGTGGTGGGTTGGCCGCGACGATCAAAACAGACAGGACCGAGGGGGAGATACGGAAGGCGTGCAGTTGAACAGTGGAGTCCTTGTTGTTGAAAATCATCTTCTGCATGAGGCGGATCCCATTTCTGACCCGGTTTGGATGAACAAGGCGGTCATCCACACCCCATTCGCAGAAAGACGTCTTGCCATTCTTGCGCGTTTCTTTGAAAGACGGAGAGAGAAAATGGGTGTCCATTTGCAGTTGTCGGAGCCCTACAGCACAACAAGTGCGCCACCCTCGGAGGCGGAATTCGATGATGATGATCTTCCAGTGGATGAGTGTTATGTTTGCCTGTCACACCTTCGGCGGCGATTGATATGGTGGCCCTGTGGCCATTGGCTCTGCGCTAGTTGTCTACGTAAAGTTTTGCGAGGGACGCGATCCCCAGGAGATGCTTCCTGTCCGAACTGCCGCGGCATCTTTTCGCATGAGCAACTTCTCGTGCTTCACTTGCAATCCAGGAAAGTCCCTCAAGGGGTAGTGACAGACTCCGGTGCTGGGCCCAATGATGCTGCCGGAAGCGTATCAGGGGAGCTAGCTACCAGCGTTGTGCAGCCAGATTTGGTGCGATGAGCAAAGCAGAAAGGAGTGCGCTTCGTAAGTGACTGCTGCGAATATTTCTGATCTGTTTTGTTTTCCTTCGTAAGCCACTGACCAACTAATCACAACTATTTTGAAGCTAGAAAACACATCTGGCAATTAATTGCCAGCATACTAAATGTATAGTATGCATTGATGCCGTTTTGTGTGATTAACGTTTTGCTTTTTGTTTTTGTTGGCAGAAGAGAAATTTATGAAACCACCGGCTCTATTCTTCACTAAAAGTGTTTTTAATTGTGTTCAAAATTTTTTTTGTCCTGCCGCAGACGAGTTCTTCCACTTTGCGTGACCATTTCCCTCTTTCTATCCCAAAGTTCAAAGTGTAACATTTCCACGCATCCTTGTATATCTTCTCTCCATGTTTTCTCTCCGCGGCTGTTGGGGGGGTTCACCAGTAAGAGCGAATTATGTCCGTTATCCGTCTGCCGAAGAATGAGCTCGACGCTCAGATCTTCCGCTACTTGCAGGAGGCAAAATACTCTGATGCTGCTGATGCTCTCAAGCAAGCCAACTCCGCTGTCGTTGCAGCAGCTCGGAAGCTCAAGTTTTCGGCACTTATCGCCGTCGCCAACAACATCCGCGATGACTCTGAAAGCGATGATGAGCCGGTGCGCAAGCCCGTGAAGTCGTCGCCCAAGGCAGCTCCCAAGGCCGCGCCCAAGAAGGCGATGGACGACTCGGACAGCGATGATGAGCCGGTGCGCAAGCCCGTGAAGTCGTCGCCCAAGGCA